ACATTCTCTGATATGTGGGGCCGTATGCTTTGATTCATAACTAATGCTATCTGAAATACTGGTAGACGTACAGTTATGCGTTGGGTATGCCGCTAAGCATATTTAGAGATGTGAATAACAGATACATGATCTGTCCCTTCTACTGTATAGAAGTATAATGTCAATGGGCCCACTGAATAGTAGGACTTGGGAAAGTGCAAGGCCATGCCCAGATATGTCACTATCTAGAGACTGATAAATATCTGATCCCTGCCAGTCTACTTGAGATTCAGTTACAGCTGATTTAACTATACAAGGATACACATCCCATGCCTTGTGTTAAATCATGACATTTAGGACAGAAGGATAATAGTTATAGAATGTCTTGTGTCGTAGAAGGTATTGATGAGATGAACGTCTTTTTCATAATCTGGGGATAATAATGTGTTGCTAGATACCGCTTATTATCTATGGTATTAATTAATATCAATATCATTGCTAGTGTTATGGATACCTAAATGGTCACACACTTAGGACTTGTAAGGGAGTAGTATACTACACTAGTGGGAGTAATATTAAATATATAGTTGTGATAATTTTATATATATATGTATTTCGAAAATACATATGTATTTTAAAATTATATTTTGTTTGTGTCATTTTAATTATATGATAATTATATTTTGAAAAACAAATTTTATTATATATATATATATGTAGCGCCGAATGTGTATATATATATATATATATATATTATTTTATTTTTCATCATTTTAATTATATGATAATTATTGATGCAAAAATAAAATGTAATGTATTTTAATATGCTATGGCCAAAAATATTAAAGGGAAAAATACAAGACATAAATTGATTTTCTACCTAATGATATATTTGAGTGATATAATCAAATATTTGATTAACAAAAGGATAGTTGTCTTGTTGTGTTGGTTGGGGACATTACATTAATCCTAATTTGTTTTGTCCCTAAGCTATTTCCTAGAAATTCATTTAAGTTGTTTATTATAAAATGAAAAAACAATCCCTCCCCTTTTACAATTAATAGTTTCGGCCATCCCATTTTAGAGAGAAGAAAAATTCTATTTTGTGTTCAAAGTTATTTTTCTTAGGGCTGTTCATCGGTCCAAGACCGGACCAAACCGGACCGACCCGGACCGGACCGAAGACCGAAATGAGTAAATTCTTGGACTGAAGACCGGACCTAAATCCATTCGGGTTTGGACCGGACCGGACCGAAATATTTAGGACCGAACCGGTCCGGACCGATTGGACCGAAAAAATTATATTTTTTTAAATTATTTTGATCAATTAAATATATTTTAGACTTTTTACTTTGTACCATTCAAATAGAAAATGAATAAAAAAAATAGGCAGCTTTAAAATGGATAAACAATATGAACTACTTCAATGTAGAACCATAAAAACAAATATGAAATGTTTTTTTTAAAGATTTTTTTAAAATTACTTAATAAAAAACACTTTAAATTAAATAAATTAAAATATTTATTAAAATAGAGCATCAAATTGTAATACGAAATTTAAAAAGTAGAGTTTTTAGTATTTAGGTCTTTTAGGTCCAGTAGGTCATTAGGTCCAACCGGTCCAATCGGTCCGGACCTAAATCATTTCGGGTTTGGACCGGACCGGACCGAAACCCGAATGCCAAAATTTTCTAGACCGAAGACCGACCCGAAATCCATTCGGTCCGGGTTCGGTCTGGACCTATCGGTCCGGTTCGGTCGGTTTTTTCGGTCCGGACCTAAATGTGAACAGCCCTAATTTTTCTAAAGTGTTAGAAATATACACAAAATATTATAAAGAAATATTTATAAGATAAATATTTTACTATATATTTATTACTCCCAAAGTAGTATTATTATAGTTTTTACTATCCTAAATTAAACTTGCTAGCACAAGTTTAACCTAGGACTTCGGAGCAAGTTCGTGTGGATACGTTGGAGGCTTCATACGTTTGGCGCTACGTTCATCTCCTCAAAACCATCCCCGACCGTTCCTCCGTTCTTCGTTTTCACCGTTAAGGTAAATTTCTTACTATAGCTAGTAATTTACGTAAGTTGTTCTTGGGTGGAATCGAGTTTTGGACTATAAATTTTTGTTTTCCGCTGCGTTATCCAAGCCTCGTTTCCCAACAAAATATGTTTGATTCCATATGAAAACAACTTGTTCAACATGGCGG